ATGAAAAAAATAAACGTTTACCTACAGAATATATTCACAATCTTGCAAAAATGATTTTTCTTTTTAAATAATTAATTTAATATTTTAAATAACTTTTCTTTGTACATCTAAAGTATCAAATTCTTAAATATATTTGCCCTTACATGTTTTTGTTTAAACAGTGAGCAAAATATTTTGCATTACTTGTTAAATTTATTTAAAGAAATGTTTAAGTATTAATTAAATACTAATACTTTTTGGTTTTAACTTTTAACAGAATATAGTAGCCTGTGGTGCAGGTTTTGTTGATGGTCTAGGTCTAGGTGATAATACAAAAGCTGCTGTCATCAGATTAGGACTTATGGAAATGATTAAATTTGTGGATGTATTTTTCCCTGGTGGAAAGCTTGCGACCTTCTTTGAAAGTTGTGGCGTAGCGGATCTTATTACTACTTGTTATGGTGGGCGCAATCGTAAAGTTTCAGAAGCATTCGTCAAAACTGGCAAGGTTAGTTTAATGGTATTAAAAATATAAAAGGATATAAAAATTATAATATAAAACGTGTACTGCTGAAACGTGGGTAAAAATACAAAATTATTTTGATTCCAGACTATTAGTGAATTAGAAAATGAAATGTTAAATGGACAGAAATTACAAGGTCCCTTCACAGCTGAAGAAGTAAACTATATGTTGAAAGCAAAAAATATGGAAAACAGGTTCCCACTTTTTACAGCTATACATCGAATTTGTATGGGTGAGATTAAACCACAGGAACTAATTGAATGCATACGCAACCATCCAGAACACATGTAAGCTTATTTGTCTCCACTAAACTAATGGTGGATTAGTTGAAATATCTGCCTTTTATCTCTAAATGATATAGGCTAATAGTTAATTTTCTTTAACGTATTATACAATTTACGTTCCAAATTAGTCCTAAAATATTTTTGTGCCATATCTCAGAAATTCAGAACACCAACAAAAGAATGTTATGTAAATATGTAATATGTATTAAAATTAATTCATTATGATTGTGATTCTTAAGCAAAGTACAGCTTTTACATTTGAATTTTGTTGCAAAATTTAGTACTATAGTAACATATTTTGAAATCTCTGTTTAATGTTGCAATTAATGATTATTTAAACCATGGTCCTAGTTATGCTAATATTGCTATTTGATTCTTTATACACGTGAAAAAGTAGAACTGTACTTAGTCACTATTAAAGTCATTGTGTATAATATGTAAAAATGTGTACATATATGTAAAGAATTAGGCATTGATCATTGTACAAGAAAAGTAGCTATATATTTTTCTGAAGAACTCGTTTATTGCATTTATTGTATAGAAGACGAAATATGAGTTATTTCTATCAATGAATATACATATGCCCACAGCAATTTTAGTAAATGAATAAATTTTTAATATCAGAAATTATTTTATTTCTGTTAAAATAAGGATTTGCATTTAAAAATAAAATGATGTGAAGGAATATATTTTAAAATTATACATATCATATGGTAATGTTCCATTTCACTGATAGAAATACAATAGATGTTTCAAATGGTAAAATTAGGTGCCTTTGCATGAATGTCTGTTGCTTTTATGCTTTATGGGGTGTATGAAATTTGTTCATATGTTTAAATATGAAACAGCTTTATCTTGAAATATTATATAAATGAATAAATGTATTTTTCATTAAACATATAGAAGATTACATATATATGACATGCAAAAGTTATATTTTAGAAAATGTGATTTCTTTTGTGTGTTTTAATGAACAAATTATTAAATGTATTATGGAATCAGAAGAAGAAGAAACGGAAGAAGGACCATGGTAATTAATGAATTTTGTGATCTTTTATTCACTAACTTTTAAAAATATGTCAAATAACAGTTAAATTGTAATTTATGTTTGTTATATCTGTTTGTTTTCAGTCCTTCAATTTATCATTCACTTTAATTATGTTTTTAATTATGTATTACAGTATATAAGAGAATATTTTCAATACACCCTTAACAGCATCACTAGTTTTTTAAACTATATGAATTATATTTAGATAACTATTATACATGTTATTAAAATGTGCGTACAAAGAAAACTGTTAGAAAATATATGAAAGCACAGTATGCGCTACTATATATTTTAATGAAAATTTTATTAGAAATGTTAATAAGATATAAAAATTTTATGGACAAACATGTATCAGCGAATTTGTTGATTATTGTAGGTTATCATGTACGAAGAAAATAAGTTGTTTAGCCACCTGTTAAATTATAGATTATTGTAAATTGTTACATTATGAAACCAAAATTATCATACATGATGTAATGTGAAAATTAAATATACGACTGTTATTTGTTGTTTTATCTTTGTTTAGTTTAGAGTCATATTTGCCCTTATTCCAAAACCATCACCAACATTTATGTCGAAAATCATAGTTACATCACTTGAACATCATGTTGCATTTTACATTATTACAATTAAACAGTACTCTTCTCAGTATGTACTTAAAACAACATAAAGCATGTTTGCGGATATAACAATACCTGATGTTTGACAGTACCATTTGTTGCGATTGAGAGGTGTCTATTTTTAATTATATTCGCTTCATATTTAGGGACGATGACGTTAACGTATCAATGCTGCAACTACCTACACCGAGATGCCATCTGTGAAGATTATAATGGAGGACACGGAAGAGACAACATGATTGGCGTATTCATGTTTAAAAAATTGTTATGAATTTATAGATTATTTTTGGGATGTGATATATATTTAACATACTAAATATTCATACCAACTTGATACAATTCAGAGGAAAGAATTACGACTATCATTAATAAAACATAACATTTTTATTCTCGGGAAACTAACATATAGAGGAAAAGCATTTCATTACCGCATGTTCTTAATAATTACTTTTAAACCATGTGTCTAAATATGATTTGATTCACTTGCTTTTTATAATCAATGAAATTTATAAAATTTACACATTAATAGAACTATATTTGAGTTGTGTTTCATTTCTAATTACAATGTAAAATTACATAACAGCTAATATATCCGGCGATCAATTATTTTCATTTTTTCTTAGAAAAATTAATGTGATTTATATTAATCCGAAGATATTTGTACATACCTGTTTGTAATTATTTCTTAATTTTATACATTTTTTAAAATAAATTTGTTTATTAATCGTACCACATGAACCTTCATTTAATGTCACCTTACATACTCTGAACTATCGTCAACGGCTCTTCTGGAAAATCGGAATTAATCATCGGAATCAATTTATCGATTCTGTTATAAATTTGAAATTCAGGGTCAATCCATTGCATTGAAAACTTTACAATATGTCAAATGTATTATCAAACTGTTGCTAATTTTAACATTCAACCTGGCCACGGTTTGCGGTTGCGTTCATGTTGGCCTTGGTCCACAGCAGCATACGCCAACCGTTAGAAAATAATTTGTGATCGCTACTAAGGTCAAAGAAGACTGAAGTTAGTTTGTAAGTTAATCGGTCAGTCAGTCAATCGTAC